AAAAAATTATGTAAAATCTTATGTTTCTATAAAAATAAACAAATATATATATATATAAAATTCTGAATAGTTCATTATACAAGAAAATATTAAAAAATTATGCAATAATTTTTGTAAAAATTGTAATAAAAATTATCCTCTCTCTTTCTCGTTCTTTCTTTCTTCTTCCTTCTCCCCCTTTCTCTCTTTTCTCTTTGCGAGGCACGTCGAGTTTCATGTATCTTTATCCTTACCATGACCGAGACAAATATCGAAATACTCGAGAACCGAAGACAAACGTCATGACGAATCGACTTCGCTTACCGGTAATGCGTATCCACCGATGCGATATCCCAGACATGTTCCACGGTCGTCCCTCACCGGTATTGCGAGCGATCGGGAATGCGCCGCGCGTCGTGCACGATTCGCGGATTCACCGAGTTGAATGCACTCGGACTCTCCTCTCGCTATCAGCCAATCGCTTCTACCACGCAGCTTCTTGCCGAGCCGGCGGCCGACCGTACACTGGGCCGGCTGTACTTACCTGCTTGTGCTCACCTGGCCAACGTGTAGATTCTGCTAGCGGCAGATGAGAGGATTCCCATTCCTCTCTTCCGGGTTCTGCACGATCGCTCGGCTCTTCTCTCGGCGTTCCTCTCGATTGTTTCGCTCGTCACTCATCATTCGGCTTGTCATGCCTCAACACTTATTGTTAGTAGTAAGTCATCTGGCGGTCTTTGTAGCTGATTCTTAGATATAACAGTTTATCTTGAGTACTTTTACATATTCGAGATTTTTGCCTCTAATAAATTATCAAGCCTCGTGATTTAAAAGTCTATTTGAGGAAAATCTAATATTGACACAGAAACGAAATTTTGCGTTACTAATACTTTCTCGCAAAATTTAATCTTGTCAAAAAAAAGGAACTACATTCTTTCGAATCAATTACTCAAAGCTTGACATTTTCGACGAGGAAAAAGTCCATTCCAACTCGACCAAAGAATATAAAAAAAATAACACTCTCCTGTATAAAGCGAACCCACCTGCCAGGTACAAAGTTGCACGTTACAGCACGTTACGTGGTCAAACGAGATAAAATCATATATATCAAAAACCATTACCAAATTAAAAATGGAGACTGTTCCCTATCGCACATTGATGTAAATGTACAAATGACTAGGCGAAAGAGAAAGGGACTCTAGTCGTATCTTTTTACGGGACCCGCGTTAAAGGGTAAGAAAACGGGGAAACGCGCACGCATGACGAGGCACGACGACTAGTTTTGTCACGTCAAAAATCGGACGAACGCAATTCGTTTTCGATATATACTTGTATATGTATAACAGCTCGAAAAACGGGTTCACAAACTATCTAACACGCCGTCCTTGCACGCTCACGCATTTCCATGCGAAACGCGTAATCGCATGGATCAGAGATAGACGAGATACGCAAGAAACCGTACTGTACGAAAAATTCTCGATGCTAATGACAAAATTTGCATGTAAAATGGATTAGTTTAACGGTAAATATTACGAAAACAAGTACAGGTCAAAGAAAGTTAGCAAGTGTCTTGTCAAATTTGACAATTCAATATCGCTTTGAAATTTTGTTACGACTAATGTCTACATTAAACATCAAAACCCGATAGAAATTTGTCTGTATATCAAGTAAAGATATAAAAATTTTCTAATAAAAAAAAAAACAGTTTCAAAAAACGTGTTTTTTTTTCATTGAAAGAAAAAAACAATTTTTTTTTCATTATTTTTTTAAATATAATATTATTTCTCTTTATATTTTTTTTGTTAACATAATAAAAAAAACTAACGTTCTTATATTTTTAATTTATTTTTTTCGAAAGTAATTTTAATAGATTAATAAGACTTTTGCGATAAATTACATCAAACTCGACATGATTCGGATAATTTTCAATTAGATGCATAACATAAATTGTTATTAATTAAAAATAATAATTACATAACTATATAGCCAAAAATGCGAGCTACATTAAAAATAATAATGGTTAATTCAAATCTATCATCTAAAAAGTTAAAAATAATGAAAAATCAATTTGCAATAATCAAAATATAAAGATATTAAATATTTGAAAAAAAAAAATTTTGGAAAGAACGAGGCTTGTTTTTTTTCTATTTACATCTCTATAAGATATATTTATATCTCTAATTGTTTTCTAAAAATTTAATTTCATCGATACACAAAACTCATTTTTCACTTCTCGTTTTGCAAAAAAGAAAATTAATTCGCTCTATTAGATTGATAAAATGTTTGTCTCATTCTATTATTAAGTTTAAATGCGTCCCCTTTCCAGCAGTTATAATAATAAATCACAAATCACGATAAAATCAATGAAATTTACACAATGCAACAATAAGCCGGATCAATTTTCTTCATTTGCCGGGTGAAAGTAATGTACCGAAGGTCGACCGCGACAAGACAAAATATGTAACGAAACAGACGGAATGAATTGACTTAAGAATCTCGCGACTTATTCTCGTCACCCGTAGCGTAGAATAACGATGCGACTTTTACGTGGAAAGGAGGTTGAAGAAAAGAGAATGTGTGCAAGTCGAGAGTGTATCGAAAGAAACAATACCATGTTGAACTTTTTTTCGCGCAGTATTTATCTTTCCAAACTAATTAAGTGAGTTATATCTCTAACATTATAGCTGTGCGAAGCTTTTATTGAGGAGCATTCGATATAAATCAAGCGTTTGCTGCCTTTATACATATATCGATTTTATGATACGATTGGAAGAAATATCAGAAGGAATATCAAAACTAATAATTCATAAATCAAACACGATATTCAAACTGACATTTAAAAAGAAGATACTTATTTTCATTTTTTTTAAATTAGAGATGATTACTTTAATTGTTGTAGAGAGAGAGAGAGAGAGAGAGAGAAATTTTTTCAACTTTTATATACATAGAGATTTACACGTACAATATAGAAAATATAAAATGGCTACGAAAAAGTGATAGTAAAATATTCTTTTTAATTTCGGAATCTCTCTCCCTTAACTGGAAGTTAAAATCGAGACTTAATAATACAAATCATCATAATAAAATTTACACAAATGTAATATAAAATCCCACACACATACTTATACATACATATATATATATATACACGTAACATATAACATTGATTATTATATAAAACTAAGATAAAATTAAAATAAACTTAAAGCAGATCTACTCCAATCCTGTAAAAAATATCCTTGAAAATTCTCTGATCTTCCAGTATTTTTGTTCCAAGTTCCAGATAAAGAGAATATTTTAAACATTTTTTGATGCAATTTCCTAAAATAAGTTTTTTTATTGTGCGCATTTTCTAATGCTTTTCATTCATACGAAGAAAAAACACAAAGCCACTTAAGTTTCAAGTGCTAGATTTACAAATGTACTGAATGAAAATGTAATGAATGTAATGAATGAAAATAAAACTGAATAGCTTTCGTTAAGATAATACTTTTCAACTTGTATAACATTTTAATTTTTTCACGAAAAATTAAAATAAAGAATATGTATTGTATATTTAATATTTTGTTAAGACATTGAATATATAAACAGAAATAGATATATATCTATAATATATTTTAAACACAATTCACAACATGGCTTTTATTGGCGGATTGTCTACTGCTTACAGTATAAGAGCAAAATTATCAGAGATAATTTTTTTTAAATTCCCCGAGTCCCAACAAAATTCCATGGAAATTCCCTAATTTCTCCAGGTATAAAAAAATTCCTTGAGAATTCCAAGTTTTCCATGTTTTTCCAGGGAATAGACACCCTGATTAAAGATGTAAAAATCGATACCATATTTCCAAAATATTGTAAATTTGAATTATTTCTTTAAAAAGAAATAGAAGAGATATTTGCAAGTATGATATACAAAAAGTTATGTCGCATTGGAAAAATCCTGAATAGATGATTTATTCGTTGTTTTCCAATTTTCTAATTCATAGCAAAGCATTTTCAAATATGAAACGACGATTAAATAAAATTATATGTAAATATCGCTTATATACACACGCGCTTATACACACGTTTATTTATGCAAATTTAAGGTTAAAAAGAATTATATTCATAAAATGCGTTATTTTTACCAACATATATAAGTACTACTTTTTTTGTGACGACTCACAGATTTTTCGGCGTTTGAAGAAACAGCAACCGTCAGATATTTATCACATAATCACTGTGTGAAATTACATTCTCTGCGATTATCAGCCGCACTAAAATTTAGCTTACCGTTTCTCTTTCCACCCGCGATACTTGCTGAAGAAGCGTTCATACGCGGCAAACTTTTAAAGTCACGTGACTCTTGTGATCTTCTGCGAATAACTTCAGTTGGTTCGTTCTCTTATCATCTGCTGTAAAGTGCAATCGCATCAAGTGACACGATTGTTTTCCCTTTACGCGATCTAATAAATATTAAATTCAATGTTTTTCTCGTGTCTTATCTATCCATCTTAGTGACCTCTTATCGTTGAACTATTAAACAGCGTAATCAAACGAGACGTGAGTCATGTCTCACTTTTGAAAACACGACGGAGGAGGGAGGAGTGGGGAGAGACGCAATCAGATGATCAAATGACAGACGCCAGCAGCCACACATATCACACATATATATTTACGAAACGCTTGATAAATGTAACGGAGAATGGGGAATTACCGGTATGTCGTGCATTATTCCGTCATAACGCAGTGGCTTTCGCAAATGTTGGGGCAAAAGTGATATCTCGAATATCGCGTAATTCGCAGAAAAACTCGAGCTCATGCATTTATTTATTTATTTTGCGTTCTCGCGGCAGACATATATATACAAAATGTAGAGTCTCCTAACCTCGCATCCGCGTGAATCGACTTGACAGGAGTAGGGGACTCGCAGAAGATTTGTAAAGCACAGTGCAGAAGACACATATTGTATTTCATTTCGACATTAATTGAAACGAATCGACCGAATTGCACGATGAACGAGAATCCGGAGAACATTACCTCGGAATCGTTCTATGCGCTGTTAGTCGCCTTTGAAACCATGAAGGAACGTTGTCAGCGACTACAGACGCGGCTGGCAGCGGTGGAGAAGGAAAACCTTCGTCTCAGGCTCGAATGTGGCAGAGATGCGTCAACAGCTATCGTCAAAGCAGATAACAGCAATGACGAATCTACGCTGCAGGTTTGTGCAATATTAGATTTAAATGCAACACAAAATCAAAGAGATTTTATTTCTCTGAACTATATTTAAACCCATATTTAAAAATATATAAAGATTGTATAAATCAAAACAAAAACTCTATAGTTTTGTAATGTATAATATCCATTTTTTCAAAAATATGAATTTAGAATGATTTGAAATTTTTCTTACTGAGTAATCTACAAGATATCTGGTTGCTTTTTCTATTCATATTACCTATATAATTAAGGATACAATAAAATTATAAACAAACATTGCGATATTGCTAAGAATAAGTATATATATAATATGAAAATAATTTAAAAATATACCTAAATATATTTTGCATTTGCAGTTTATAATATTCACAAATGTAATGATGCAATAATGCAATTTTTCCACAGGAAAAGATTGAGGAAGTTACAAAACAAAAGTCTCAGCTATCTGATCACATGTTTATGGTAGCAGCAGAAAATCGTCAGCTGTGGAACAGATTAACAAGATTGACAAAGACTAATAAAACCCTTGGTAGTCAGTTGATTAAAATCTCGGATACACTTAAACAGCATCCTGCTATACAGCCATCTGACATTACGTCGTACAACTTTCGTGATGTGTCTAATTTGGATACCTCGGATCCTAATAAGAAATATTTATTAACTACAGATGGTTTGTATAAATATTGAATTGTATCATATCTAATCCTCACATTAATCATGATTAACAGGATAAGTTTTATTGTTTAGGTGAGAAGGAACAAAGTTTGGAAGAAATATCCCTTCGATTGATAAATAGTATTATGTTAGAAAAATCTGATCTTGAGCAACAATATGCCGAGGTAAAGGAATAAAAATACTGCAATCGATTAATATATTTTATGCAATGTTCGTCATTTCACGCAGATGGTGGAGTTACAGAATAATTCGGAACTAAATTTACAAAAAATTGGTTTTACATATCCAGAAGATTCTGATACAGATTCACTGGAACAAATGAAACAGGTTGAAATTCGCTTGTTCCAAACTAAAGATGCCTTACTCGGACAGCAAACTAGATTAAAAAGGACCTTGCAGAACCTTAAAAAGATGAGAAAAGGTAAGATATAAATTAATTCAGTATTAGAAGCCACCTCATCATTGTGTCGTAATAACATAAATATAAATGTAATTTATTATTTTTAGGCACAATATGTAATAATTGTCGAGAAAACGCAAATAAGAAAATGTGTCAAACAGGTACACAATTTGATTCCAATGATAGCTTCAAGGAGCATGAAGCAACTCAAACTAGTCTTATGACACCCAGTATTTCTATGGAAAAATATCCTAACATAAACGATAACATAGATGCAAATACCAATACATGTCCATTGTGCGGTATTGTTTATGGAAAATCTAAACCATTTACAGAATTTCACGAGCATGTTTTAAGTCATTTTATCAAGGAAGTGTCAGATGAGTTCGAGCTTGTACATTGATCTTCTAAATCAATACTGATTTATACTATTCATAATAGTTTTTAGATTTTGTGTATAAAAAAATTTTTATGAGATATAAAATATTAAAATAGATAAAATATGTACAATATGACAAACTATAAGCGCAACATAGAAAACTGTGAAACAAAGGATGACTATTGCAATATAGAGATATATTTATTTTTGTATCAATAAACTCTATTGCAAATTGAAAATGGAATCTATTTTCCAGAATTAGAAATAGTTATTAATAATAAAAAAATATGAATATTTGTGTAATAAAAACACTACAGTATTTATGTTTTCTTCTTTTATTAATGTGATTTATTATTCAATGAAACATATTACTTAGAAAATGTAAAAAATTCTAATTTCCGAAAATTTCAGAGATGAGAATATTCCAACTTTCAAATGTAGAAGATTAAATTTGATTTCAAGTATACATACCTTATGCAAGATATGTAGGTTTAACATCCCCTTTATCTGACGGCTCCTGTGTTGTAGGCTCAAGTAAGTTTCGATGAAACCACGAAGGTCTTTTCTTCGGCATCTCAACCACTCTTTGTTTCTAAATTAGAGACAAATCCATATGAATATAAAACTATGGCTGGGTTCCATGAAATGCATATGCATGGATGTATTTATAATACAAGTTACTAGTAACTAGCCTAAATATTATACAAATACATTTATAATACCTTCCAAAATTTATGTGTTTTATCGTGCTTTTCTCCATCATATAACACAATTATATTTTCCTCTACTGGATTTAAACCTAATTTTTTTTGTATGGCATCTCTGATTTCTTTAGTTTCAACCTTCACTTTTTCGTAACAGTGTCCTGTAGTAAAAGAATATGTCTGTAAATTTTTCTTTCACTCACAAACATTGCTTTCCAATCATAATTTTCACATTGAACATACTCAAGATATAATCTAAACTGCTTTTTAATTTTGTTTTAATCTATCTTATTATTACAATTGTTACTATTTTATACTGATAAAATTTACCACATAAACGACCAGCTTCATAATCGTGACCACAATTTGTGCATATTAATAAGTTAGTTTTTGGAACAGGCGGCTTCCAACAATATTTCTCAACTCCAAATCTTCTGCCGAGTCTCTTTTCTATAGTACGTCGCTTTTTTGGAACAGCCCACAGAATCCCAATATTGAAAATATCTTCTAGAGGTTGACTGCCAAAAGGGTTATCCAGTTTCGGTTCATTCAGGAAACTGTTGCAATCAATTGCACATAATTCTGCATAGAAATAAAAGCTTTCTTGAATTCAATATATTTTACAGATTTCAAATCTATCACTCAAATTGTTTAACTTAACTTTAAATTGTCTAAATACACGTGACAAATTGATTACCCAAAAAGAAATCTTTGATTGAGATTAAAAAACATGACACCAACTGTTCACATTTGATTCAAATCATACATTTCTAATATATAGAAACCTTCGATTACCTGGAGAAAAGCCACGACCAAAAATTGTCTGAAAAATTGTCTGTTCAAATCTTTGAAGAGACAAACATAACCTGTTTATCAAGCCGCCTGCCATTTTCGTTCAATGTAAACACAATTGCGAAGAATGAATAATAATTATTTGTAAATTGCGTACACCTTTATTACACCAGATATCAAAACAAATCCGTTTGTCGAAAGCGAATTACACGACTGATTCAACTGTTAAATCGTTCATATACGACACGAGACGAGACCTTTATTTATGCTTGCATCTGAAATTAGGCACTTTTGACTTTTGGATAGCGCGCATCATATCTAGATATTCATGCATCATGACTGTTTATACAAAACGAACGTACCTATTGGACGACACTTCTCATTCTGAGCGCGCATGCGGCTTACGGCGTACTCGTAAAGCCCGAATCACACTAGCGGCTCGCGGCTGCGATTGCGATTGCGTTTGTGATTGTGATTTGCTACGCTCCAATCATACTTGTAATTGGTGCTTTCTGATTGGCAGAGCCAATCGCAATCGCAGCCGCGAGCCGCTAGTGTGATTCGAGCTTTAGTGACATATAAAGGCACCTATATGAAGACGATAAAAATGATTAAATATGATTATTTTTAACTTTTCTGTGTGTATTTCGTTTATAAATCGTTTGTGATTGATTGTGTCACTATGAACCACTGTGTGTCACTATCACATTGAATCGAACGTGGTTGGCTCTTACTTTTAGAGCCAACAAATCAATAGCGTAATTCAGTGGAAAATCTAATAAAATTGCTTACTGTTTGAAGCCCATTCTTTCGGAGCAGCTGTCATATCATGTTTGTTAACGACCTTTTAATGTAATTAATATTAGATAATTTGTTATGTAAAAAAGAATATTTACTATAAATTATTTGTAATTGTTTGTGAGTATATTTTCAACGTTTGTGATTGATTAATTCATTTGTAATTAAAATTTTCAATTTTTTTTATTATGATGCCAACCGGCAACCTAATTGACGAATTTTTGTGTATGCGCACTACAATTATAAAATAAACTTATTTTATAAGTAATTAAGAAATTTTTTAATTTACAAGTGTAATATTGATATATTTGTAAATCACAAACAATTTCCTATCAATTACAGTTATCAATTATCACAAAATGTGTTTATTACTGAAAAGTATCGGCCGGACATCATGACTAAAATAAAATTGTTAATTACAAAAAACCTAATTTGTCATAAACATTAAAAACAGACTCACAATCAATCACAAACAAAATACATTCAGAAAAGTTAAAAATAATCATATTTATTAATCATTTCTGTCGGCTAACTTCATGTAGGTTATAGAGGTTCATTTAAAGAGTCGCGACTGCGCGCTGCGCGTTCGAGGCTTCGAGGAACTCCGACGTATGGGAGCGGGGAGGGGGATGGAATTGGAAATGGTACCGGCAGGTGGGGTAGGGGGCGCAGTCTTCTGAAGTGCGTTGGTGGGATCGGAGCGGGTGGTCAGCTCGGACGGCTCGGGCAGCAGCGAGTCCGCTCACTATAGTCCCCGCTATGGCAAGTATAGGATCGAGTAGACTTTGTACTCACGCGGAGAAACTGTGTCAGTACGGGCATTTCACCCAATTGCGGAGGAAAGTTTCGACGACGACATGTGCGAAATCACGACCGGTTGTCTCGCGAACGAGCGGCGCGCTCTTCCAACACTGCCAGGTAAGTACGTTCTCTCTCGTCACTGAACTCTGCCAAGACTCGTTTTAATTCCATCCCGCAACGCATCTCCCCGATGATCGACGATCCGTTTGGCACGATGCAATGGAAAAAACGCGCTGTTCCATTCAATTTTCGTGTGATTTTCCTATTCTTTTTCGAGGCTTCGCCGACATAACCTACACTCGCAAGTGACAAATGGTTCGCGTAATCGAGTCGCGAGATCGCTAAACGCTGACAGAAACGTAAAATTAGAACGATCGTTGAAATATTTCGGAGTATTAGATTCGAAGCGAGTCTTTTTCAAGCGTTTATTCTCCTCAACTTTATTACATAAATTACATAACACGTGACTCTGCGAACAATTCTTATCTTTATGAACTATGTGTACTTGACCTTGCAAAACAAAAAGCCGAAACATTATTGTTTACTTCTAGAATATGTGCACATAGATAGAACAACGTAATTTTTGAAGAATACTGTGGAAACAACGCGATTTACTCTATTATTTGTCAATCAGTTCTAGCAGACGTCGTATAGTATAGATCGTCTGCTAGTGACGTTTCACACGCTGTCAAATGAGTGACAGGTTCTTTTGCGAATATGCAAGAATTCAAATAAATAATTAGGCGCACATGATTATAATAATTTATACGCATATTAACATCCTCGTAATAAAAGATTTAGGCGTAGAACGGATAAAATTTTTGCATTGTTTTTAGAGATTGCATTGACTACATAAGCGCATTCACGTTGTCTCCCATACGCATGCGCGTGTTAGCGTTTAAATGCGCTTTAACCTGCATATGGTATATTACTCGATGAAATATTCGAGTTTTATATTTTTCACGTTAGAGATTTTTATTTATGCGTTAAAAAAGGATATTCTTGAGAATAATTATATAATGAATATACATATAATTACCGAAATTCAACAAAAATCTAATTAAAAGAAAATTATTAAATTTATGAGACAAACTAGAAAAAGGCATAAATAGTGAGAAAGATGATATTAAAAAAATTCTAGAAAAACGAAAAAATAATAGAAAAGTACGAATCGTATAAAATAGGTATTTTAGTGTAGGTATATTTTATTTTTACTTTAATGTTCTCCTTCAAAACTTTTCCATATTTAAAGGTGAATTTATATACATGATTTATATATATTCAGATTTTTTTAAATTAATATGCATAGTTTATGTATGGAAAAATATCTTCGATCCTCGCATTCTATCTATGCATACATATATGTATGTTAGGGGAAAAATCTATTCCAAATAAATCAAAGAAAATGTATATATATAGACTTT